GAGGCGGTGCTTATCTCCGTTTCAAAGTCGAAGAGCCAGACTGTCTGAAAACGTCTCCGTGGTCATGTGGTCGGCATGACACACCAAAGATGCAAGGAAAGCTGTTACCTTCCCACCAAGGATGGTCCCTATTTTTCTATTTGCATTTTTTACGTACGTTCAAACTGCTAGATTGGCAGAAGTTGAGACAAGTAATGGGAGCTCACTCCGTTACACAGCGCTAGGGATTCTAACCGCCGGACTACCGACTTTTCTGATCGACAAGCTCAGCGTCTTAGCACTGAGCCAACGCATCCCTTATTAGATTTATAACCTACCTTTTATTCAGGAGAATAAGTTGATACTCTCTCAGCCTTATGAGGCAGTTCAGAAGGGAAGTACATTACCCAGATGACCTAATTCTACTTTATTAAAAGGTTTCTTCTATGTTGTATAATGTAATATTATGCAGTATTATGCCCTGATGATGTTACCTGGTGGGGTAATGAAACATCTGCAAATAAACCATCAAGCTCATTCAATACCAAGGACTCTATAGTGCAGACCTGAGCTAGAGATATTTTCTTTTATTGATGCAGTTCTCTCTACTCTACTTCTTCCCTCAACAACTTGTAAAAGAAGTTTGGCTGAGGGAGTGACTGGTTCCCCTGCCACCCAATGAACTTCCATGACTGAAGATGGACTAGGACCTGGGTCCTAGAATCATTCCAAATCCAACATATTAACCACTCCACATATTAACCACACTGCTATTTCTTTCTTTCATTCATTCATTCATTCATTCATTCATTCATTCATTCATCAAATATATATGGCCAACATTTCACAGAAAGTGACTCTGGCTAATTTATTGATGGCTTATCAGCCACATTTAATAAACTACCACATTGCTGGGAAGATCAGACATCAACTTTTGTTTCTTAATAAGCTTTTGCAGTATAAGCTTCTTTGCTTCACACTAGATGTCACCCTTACTAGTATCCAGTTAGGAGACATGACCAGATGAGCTGTTTCTACTTTATTATAAGGCTATATTAATAGACTAGGGATGCGGTGACTCAATGGCTAAGACGCTGAGCTTGTCGATCAGAAAGGTCGGCACTTCGGCAGTTCCAATCCCTAGTGCCACGTAACAGAGTTAACTCACGTTGCGTCTCCCAGCTTCTGCCAACCTAGCAGTTTGAAAGCATGTAAAAAATGCAAGTAGAAAAATAGGAACCACTTTTGGTGGGAAGGTAATAGCCTTCCGTGCGCCTTTGGCGTTTAGTCATGCCGGTCACATGACCACAGAGACATCTTTGGACAGGGCTGGCTCTTCAGCTTTGAAGCGGAGATTAGCACCGCCACCTAGAGTTGGGAAGACTAGCACATATGTGTGATTTACACATTTACCTTTTATATTAATACAATCTTGCAAGTCTGAAAGTACAGTTATACCCAATAAATCAGGGGGGTCTCTTCTGATTCTCTTACTTCACCCATTCTCCAACTACAGACTATGCTGTTTCTTATCTAACCATTCCCGAAGAAGTCTCTTTGGATTCAGTCTCTCAAGATCATTCTCACACACCATTACATCAGAACTGATCAATTATTCAACTATAGGGCTGCTGGGAAAGTCATCCCTCCTTCCCCCTAGGTAATTTTGTTATTGGCTTGCTAGACCAGAGGATCTCATTTGATTATCTAAAGCAACAATCAATTCCCTTGAGAGACTGATTTTAACATTTTTACTTTATTTATTTATTTATTTATTTATTGGTTATATTGGGTTTTTCTCTTTACAAACTGCCTCAAGTTATTGAGAGAAAGTTGGGTGGCCACATACATTTTCTTAGATATAACTATCTCTTCACTCTACAACACAGAAATAGCAGCACTCCAAACAACTAGAGAAAGAGATAGCTGAATAGTATTAATCAGGATATAAAGATGGCCACTTTCCTGAGATTCTCTTCACATGCTATTTTACTTAAATAAATGGCATGTAATTGTTTTAATTTGAATTGTCTTTCTTTTTACATTTGAAATTCATTTATAAGTTCCCTCTTATTTCCTCCTTTCCAAAAATTAACTCTTTTTTATATACAGAGATTTGGCAATTGTGAACATTAATTCCCACACGGTTAAAATAAATACCTTCTTAGTATAGATTGACCCCATAAAGATTACTACCAAACCAAGGAACTGGTGGAAACTGTAAGAGAATTACTTCTATTCTTTTGCAGAGAACAGATAGCAAAAGCATGAAGCTGAACTAGTGTAAACAGAACTTACATTTGATACCTGGCAGTTATAGAAATTGTTCCTGTAATCACCTTTTAGTACTTCTACAATGTGTGTGTGTGTGTGTGTGTGTGTGTATACATATATATGCATGTATGTATGTATGTATGTATGTATGTATGTNAAAAATCAAACTCAGTTCCTTGGGCAGCAAGCTGAAGTTAACCCGAGCTTGGACACTCCAAGCTGCACCTAGGAGAATGTGCGATACAGCCCTCCTAGCATTATACCGTTTCAGAACAGCACAATAATCCCAGAATTTCTCAGCATACCACTTTTTATGGGAAGAAAAGATAGAAAAAGAAGTCCATACTATGTTCGCTTGTATTCTGAGTTAGTATCGTTTTAGGATAAATGTAATTTATAGTAGAAAGTTACAAGAATTTCTGCTTTGTGCAGAAACTGCAGATAAAGACATCTTCATATAGCGCAAAGTGATGAGGTGGAATTGGAAACTTCTGCCTCAAAAGGACATACGGTACCTACTAGGGACTACAGCTCACTTTTAAAATTCATGATAAGAGTTCTTTTTTCATTAGCTCTGCTTAAAGTAAAAAAAATTACTGATTCATGTGTTAGCAATTGTCCATTTTTAAAATCTTTTTTAAATCTTTAAATCTTTTAAATTCCCATTCCCTCTTTGTACATACTTAAAGGGTGTATATTTCATATTTGGAGACGAAGGCTAGTGAATTTTAAGGAAAAGGGACAATGGGTGATAAGTGCAAATAATACATCCCACTATTCTATTTAACTCTCTAGTTCACTATAAAAATAAAGGATTCCTTGAATCAAGCTTACCTTTTGGTGACTTCATAGATCTGCGCACAACAATTTAGAAATGGTTTGCCATTTCCTTCTTCTGCTAACATGCTGTGCAACCTCTCTATGCTACATCCGTGAGAATCTAATGGGTTCTTTTGGTTGAGCGATGGAATATGTTTCAGCTATTGTCAGGCACATATAGATACGAACATTTGTTGAGATCAAAGTACAGAAGAGTATATTATTGCTACCTATACCCAAGAATCTAATCAACTAACTGATCAAAGCTAAATTAGCGCTAGATAAGGCTCAACAGAACCCATTGGGGGGTGGATTTGGGTCTCTTATGGCAATGCAATGACTTCAAACTGATGACACTGACTTCCAGCTTAGCCTGCTTGTCTCCTACAGATATAGATATAAGTAACCAAAGGCTAGGCCATACCTTCTACAATTAGGTCCTATGGAGATAGTAGGATTGCACTGGAAATCTACATTCACTTTTATTGAGAGTAACTATAATAACAGATTCTTACCAGCCTGATTCTTGTATACCTCCTCTTGTTTCTGATTAGTTCCATGTCGTAGGGATGTGTCATTGTTCAGGACTTTAAAAATGCTTTAGTCCCTTTTGCCTAGGTAATAATTTTTGCACATCTCCATTGAAATAATATTTTCTTTCTACATGGCCTTTTTAGTTCAAAATTCTGCCAGTTGGAATCTGAACGAAAACGATTTGGAGAAGTCTGGACAAAAGAACAGCTATGGGCTGAAGGGAGGAAAACATGTTCTTTTTCAGCTTGAGCCTATGATCATTCATAAATTGATCATAATGAAAACCACAGAGATTTTTTTTCCATCTTTACCTCTAATCAGCTGGCCAATTGGTTTTTACGTTCACAATTTCAGTTTTATAGTGTCATTTCTCTAAGTGATGCTTTTCATGAGGTCTAATTTAAATGATGGATTCTTCACAATTACTGCCCATTAGAAGACAGGAAAACATAAAAACCAACAGAATATGCTGTGAATTGTGAGTTCTTTTCTAAAGGGGGGGACCGTAAGTGANACTTTTATTTTGTTTTAGCATTATGAGGAATGAAATGGGGAGAAAGAGAGTTCTTAGCCTGATCCAGAACGGTTGTTGGAACTTTGGACAGAGTGATGAAGGCACTTTCGCAGATGTTGCTCAGAGGGACCTTTGCAAAGCCAACACAGCTGCAAAGGTGGAGGATGCTAATCAGGCAATACTCTTTTACTACAACGCTGAGAGTTGCTCTCTGTTGGTCTTCTATTGCCATAGGGTACTCGGCAACTGTAGAGTACTCTTAGTTATTTTCCTGGCCAGGATCACGCTCCCCCTCCCCCAAAAAAGCACTGGGCAAAACGATCTGGGGACAGCCTCCTTCCCGGCGCTTTGGAGGCGCGGCAGCGGGACGTGGGAAAGGCACGCGACGGAAAGGGCGCGGGGAGGTATCGGAAGCAGATACAGCGGGTCGATCCGCCAAGGGGGCAGCTGGGACGAAGCAACGAGCGGTACAGCTTAACGGTGACTCAGCCTGCTTCCCACACCTGGCGCGGGGCAGAAAAACCGATGCAGCCAAGCAGGAGATGCAAAGCCGAGTGGACCGCTTCGCTGTAAGTCCCCTGCGAAATTCTGCAAACCTCCCGAACCTGCCAGCACTTCTTCCCGCGAGTCCCGGTGACGAGTAGAGGGGGCTGCGTTTAGGAAGACTCAAATCTTTCCCCCCCCCCCTCCGCCCCAGCAAGTCTTTTCCCCGCGCAAGTAGTTTTCCCGAACTTTATTCGCTGCGGGCGATTGATGAATTCGAAGTAAGGTGACGCATTAGGAGTAGGGCTAAGAAAAGCCAAGACCCACTTTACCCCAGCAAAAGCTTTCTTATAAAGCCCACCGCCCGCCCACCGCTTCGGATAAATCTATTTAAAATATGGCATCTTCCTCTCAGCCATCTGAGAAACTGAAAATTAAGCAAGAAGATGGTAGAGATGTCAGAGCTAACAAGCCCCCAGTCCCTGAAAATAAAAATGCCTTACATAAAAAGCCTGCTGAAGGTGTCCAGAGAATAAAAGGCCAAGAGCAGGATGAAGGCTCTCCTAAAGCTCTGCTGTGTGTATTTGGGGGAGAATTGCAAGCTGAAAGAACTATAAACAAAATTCATAAAGAAAGCTCTTCTGGAAAGGAGGAGCTGGGACCAGTGAACAACCTGGGAGAATTTTCAACAGTATCAAAAAGTAGAAGGGGAGAAATTAGAAAACCTTCACATCCTTTGGAAACTGCACCACAGGAAGATAACATGTCTGTCAAGCAAGACAATAAAGAACTATGTTGGGCAGGTGGACATGTACCTGTAATGTCAGGTTCAGGAGGGAAAGCGTCGAGATCCAAGGATGAAAAAAATATGCAACAGGCTCCCAACAATGAGAAAACTGTTACAAAAACTTCTGGAGATAGTGTTGAAGAAGATTCCAAACCAATGCTAGATTCAAAGCAAAGTTATAAACTATCAAAACCTGAATATGAATTGGAACCTCAACAGATTTCCAACGTTAAGAAGACTGTTACAGAAACAGGAAACAAAGCTATATATAGCACGAGAGAACTTTCCAAGACAGTGATTACTTCCAAATATGTACATTCAGGATCAAGGTATCAAAATGAACTTTATCAAGGATCAAATGACTCACATCTTCCAGTAAAAGAGAAAACAGATGTTCAACAGAATAAAATGTTTTGGAAAGAAAATTACGGACCAAAACACAGATTTAAAAGCAGCTGTTCACAAATTGGAGAGCACAAAAATATCCAAGTCTCTCCTACACAGTTAAGTAAAACCTCCAATTGGAATACTTTGGCTAGCCAAAGTAAAAAACAATATTGGAAATCAGAAGCCCATTGGAGATTGGTCTCTGGAGATTCAAAATACGAAGGTAAAGAGACCAAGCAGAATAATAATGATCGGAAACCTTTTGCAAATAACTTTAGAACTGGCACAAAACAAAAAAACATAGCAAAGGACAAATGCATTCCTGCCACTTTATCTAATGCACAAAGTGAAGCTGCAGAAAAGTTTGTGTTCCAGAAGACAGCTATTGCTGAACCCACTCGAGAACCAGTGTTTACAGATGATTCAGAAACAGATCAAAAGTGTACAGAGCACAAGAAAGAATTTCCATCTGAAAATGATAGGTCTAACATGGAAGATGGAGGACCACTGGTTACCTATTCACAAGAAGATTCCATCCGTAATCATAAACTTTCAGAAATGATGGAAATGTCAGCGTCAACAATGGAATTTGTAACCTATCCTCCTCATTTCTACAATCAGAAAATGAATGATTATGCGAAACACCGGACAAGCAATCCAAAGCCAACACATTGTTTTACAAGATCCACTGGAAACATTTCATATTCCAATAATCTCTATGATGTTTCTTTAGAAAGAAGAACAAATGCAGCAAAAGATAAAAAACCTTCAGTGGAAAGGGTACAAGATAAAACATGGTCATATGGTTCTTTACAGGACTACAAATGGGGGAAAAGACCCCAAAATATGGGAAGGGGAACATATGTCCCCATCTTTTCTTCATCATTTAAGTCAGATTCTTTCACTAAACAATTCACTAATTGTATAGGCCAGGATGTGCCTATGAACTTTCCCAAATATTTAGAAGACGGCTTTATTGACACACACTGCCATTTGGACATGTTATATTCAAAAACATCTTTCAGAGGAACTTTTTCTGAATTTAGGAAAAGATACAGCAGCACTTTTCCTAAAGAATTTCAGGGCTGCATAGCTGATTTTTGTGACCCTCGTACTTTAAAAAACAACTTGTGGGAAGATTTATTAAAAGAAGACATGGTTTGGGGGGCATTTGGCTGCCACCCCCACTTTGCTTCTTATTACACAGATCATCATGAAAGAAATCTCATGCAGGCAATGAGACACCCCAAATCCATTGCCTTTGGTGAAATAGGACTGGATTACTCTTATAAATGTCGTACAGAAATTCCAAAACAGCATGAGGTTTTTGAGAGGCAACTGAATCTAGCTGTTTCTTTAAGGAAGCCATTGGTCATTCACTGCAGAGATGCTGATGGTGATCTGTTAGAAATCATGAAAAAGTGTGTACCAAAAGACTATAAAATACACAGGCATTGTTTCACTGGATGCTATAGTGTCATTGAACCATTTTTAGATTACTTCCCAAATCTAATGGTTGGATTCACAGCATTGATGTCTTACCCATCAGCAAATGAGGTTAGAGACTCTGTTCGGAAAATACCATTGAACAGAATAGTGGTAGAAACAGATGCACCTTATTTCCTTCCTCGACAGGTGCCAAAATGTGTAAGCCAGTTTTCGCATCCTGGATTAGCTCTGCACACAGTGAAAGAGATTGCCTGCCTCAAAGAAATGTCATTATCTGCCACTTTAGCTGTTCTAAGGCAAAACACCAACAAAATGTATGACTTGTAAGAAGGTCAGAAGAAAGGAGGGAAACTAAAAGAGGAAACTTTTATAAAATGATTAGATCCCTTTAAATTTTATTTTGTAATAATAATATTTTGTATAGATTTGGGCTTCTACACTAATACTGAATACCCTTTCATAGCTTTTTTTTAATTCCACCAATTATGTTACTTGCTTCTGCTGTTTAAGTGCCTCAGTGATAATTTCAGTTCTAATAGATTTATTTTTAGTTGCTAATCCTTGACAATGTTTTGATTTTTTAAAGAAAAGAGTGCTCTTAAAACTGTCTAAACCTAAGATTTTCTTCTGAGCTGCACGCCTCTTAACTGCTGCAGTAAAAAACATTACCTATTCATGTAACATGTTTGTAGAAATAGCCTTAAAAATATGTCTGTCCTTTTTTCATTGGTTTTTTTCAACATGTTAACCCATTTGATCTTTTTAAAGATAAAATGAATTATGAATCATTTTTAAAGAAAAACTAATATTGTACAGTACATAAATATTGTTTATAAACACTGTTAGTGAATGTCACAGGTGTCCCCTAGCTTCATTCTGCTGAAATGAAAAATACCCACATACATGCAGAATAATGAAGCAAAGTTAAGAGATGAAATAGAGTGCCAAGGTTATTCATGAAAAACTGACTGAGTTTTAATTTACATTTGGATTTTTTAATTTTAATCTCTTCGGAGAGTTCTTCATTCGGTAAGTGATTATATGTTTCTATAATTTTATGTATTATTTTGACTTCAAACAACTTATTATCAACTTTCATTTTAATTTTTCAATTATGTCTCCAAGCCTATGTAGACCCCATTCATTCATGGAAATAAGGATTATGGTTGAAACTGAATCATTTCGGATTTTTTGAAAATTGAAAAAATGTAAAGAATCTAGAACAAAATCTAAAAAAATATTCAGATCAGTCACCACAAAGAAGTCTTCCCAGTATAGAGCTATTAGTGTCAACATCACTGGCAAGTCATTTTTAAGAGCCCTACAGCAGGGGTGTCAAACTCAAGGCCCGGGGGCCAGATCCAACCCGTGGGGTACTTAGATCTGGCCCACAGGGCCGTCCTGGAAACAGTAAAGGACCAGCCCACAGTGCTTCTGCCAGCAAAAATGGGCTCCTGAAGACACTGCCCTCCCGAGCTCCATTTTCACTGGCAGAGGGTTGCAGGAGCCCGTTTTCACTGGCAGGGTGCTTGGGCCACCACAGGCACCCACGACAAAAGTGAGGTTGAGCTGGCCATTCCCAACCTGGTCATGCCCATCCCGGCCCCCCAAGGTCAAACACAACCCTGATGGGGCCCTCAATGAAATCGAGTTGGACACCCCTGCCTTAGTGTCTGGCTCCCAGCTGCATTAATTGCCATAAGCCTAAAATAAGTATCTATTTTCAGTTTCCTACAATATCAGTTTCTATTTTAAATTACAGGTAGTCCTTGACTTACAACCATTCATTTAGTGATTGTTTAAAGTTACGATGGCACTGCAAAAAGCAGCTTATTACCACATACACAACTATAGGTAGTCCTCAACTTACAACTATAATTGAGCCCAAAATTACTATTGTTAAGTGCGACATTAGTTATGTGAATTTCGCCTCATTTTATGACATTTCTTGTTACAATTATTAAATGAATCATTGCAGTTGTGAAGTTAGTAACCTGGTTGTTAAGTGAATGTGGTTTTCCCATTGGCTTTGCTTGTCAGAAGGTGGCAAAAAGTGATCATATGACCCCAGGACAGTGCAACCATCATAAATATGAGTCAGTTGCCAAGCATTTGAATTTTGATTATGTGGCTATGGGGATGCTGCAATGGGTTGTAAGTGTGAAAAACGGTCATAACTCACTTTTTACTGTGCTGTTATAATTTTGAACAGTTAATAAATGAACTGTTGTAAATCAAAGACTACCTATATTGCAGCATCCCCTTAATCATTGATCAAAATTGGGGCACGTAGTAATGTCAGTTGCATTGTCCCAGTGATCATATGATTATCATTTGTAACCTTCCCAGCCAGCTTCGGACAAAGTCAATGGGGAAAGCCAGATTCACTTAACAACTGCATGATTCACTTAACAACTTCTGTATTTCATTTAACAATTGTGGCAAGAAAGGTTATAAAATGGGGCAAAACTCACTTAACAAGGGCTTAGCTTAGTAGTGGACATTTTGAGTTCTATTGTGGTTATAATCCAGGACTACCTATACTCTCTAGGTCACATTAACTATATGCATAAAACTGCTGAACTCTATGACAATTTCAGCTTCACATGTTGATTCAGTTTTTCAGATGAAGTTTAATAGTCTTCTTCCAAATTTCCAGATAAACTTCACAATTTGGAAATGTGCTTTTTAAGTCAGCGGCAGGGTGTGCCTAAAAGATCTCCATCTAAATAAGAGATTCTGTCCTACAAAAATGCACACTCCCCAGTTCCATCCACAGCTGAGAATCAGGGAATAAATGAGTGTTTCTCTTTTAGCAAAGTTGACAGCCACATTCATTCTTCAGCTATTCTAATATAAAGTCTGCCAGCATGCTATGTCACCAACGCTTTACTGGCAAGGACTCATTTATCACAAGTTCCAAGCCCACAGTAAATGAAGTTATCCTTTCAAGAGTATTTTTTGTGTAAAAGGGTGCTTTGAACCTAGAATTCCCTCAAAGCGAAGTCAATAACTGAAGAACTGAGGGAGAAAAAAATGAGGGGGGGGGGGAACAATTTTCAAATAAAATGAGAGGAGCAGTTTAAGGTGTTTATTTTAAACTGATTTTTCCAAATCTTTTTTGGATTTAACCTGCAAATCTATTAGCTAATTAAAGAGGAAACACATGGTAGTGTTGTTGTTTTTTTAACTTGTTGCTCCATTTTGAATTAACTCAAATCCCAGGAAGAACAACAAAACATTTTCTTTGTCCTGTTTAAATTAAGACCCAGGAAAGGCATGTAATTGTTTACAAACAGCTTAACTGCTTTAGTACAAATGTTGCTTTACATCCTTATATCCAGTTTAAAAAAAAATCCATTTGGATTTCTTCAAAGAAATCTTCAAAGGGCAAAATGATTTGCAAGCAAGTTGGGATCAATGCTACTGCTGGGCTTTAATTTATTTGTATAAATTAAGAGAGAATAGTTTTTCAAACAACCCAGGAAGAGGACTTTTTCCACATACTGGAAAGGACAGGAGCACGTTCTGTTAAGCAGTTGGGAACAACACAGGCATGGAAAACGGCTGAGGAAACAAGGGCTAACAAGTGAGGTCACTTGTGTTATGATGTCATTTCAACACTTATTGACCCAGTGCATACAATATCATTGTGTTGTATTGGATTATTATTATATGCTGATCTTAGAGTGGAGGCATTATGTAATACATGTCCTTTGAAACTGTAAACAGCCTAGCAGCCCAATTTTACACCAATTGCATCGATTTGCACCAATTTTACACACTTCTCAATGGAAGTTCCACATATATGCATAGTAAAGATATGCATGATGTTCACAGATTGAGAGAAGAAATCAATTTATCCAATGTCCGATGGCTATAGCTGCAATGAAAAGAATGAAATTGGCCCCTTTTTTATTCTCTTACATATATTGTTCTCTCCTGAGGGAAAATCAATACGTTTTGCTAAACACACATTTCCCTGGAAGTTATTTCCAATACAGACACAATTCAAATAACATTTCTACAAATGGGACAGCTTAGCACTTTTAATAAGTAATATAATACTTTTATAATATAAATAATATTGTTGATTGCCCAGATTAGCTCTAATCTACAAATTTACATGGGATTAATAGGACAAATAGAGGCCCAGAGAAGGGCATCTATCTCGTGTGCTTAGGAAGGACTCAATAGGCGGATAAAAATGCCAAATTCATTCTAAATATCGGGATAACTGTGTTATCAATCATAATTCCATAGTGATCTTCTGCGTAAAACTTAAGAGTTAATTCAATCCACAGCATTTATATATTTCCAGTTCAACATCTGAGGCCATATCTTCTTCTGTGTTGTTTTTATTTTATGGCAATAGGGACATTTCACTCTTAAAAGCTTAATGGAAAATGTGCTTGGAGGGGGCGTAAAGGATGTGGAAAGTGAAGGCTATATGTACACACACAGACACAGACACACATACGGAAAGAATACCAAAAGTAAAGGCTTTATATAAATATGTTATATATGTGTTTCTGTATGTGTGTTTGTGTGCATTTTCTTTTCTTCTTTTTTTGAAACCTGAGAACAAGCTGCTTATCACTGGATGGACACTAGCTTTGATGCTGATGTAAAAATGTACAGAATGTGCCTAAACTCAATTAAGAATTGTCTGCGAAGGGAGAGAAATCACTTAACCGCTTCAAAACACTTCCTTTCTCCCATTCTGGAAGTGATCTTTGAACAAGAGGAGGGCAGGCAAGAGCTGTCCTTATTTCTGTCTCTTTGAAGTAAATTGCCTGCCGACTTAAACTATCATCTCAATGCAATTATATAATGTCCCCAGATCAAAACTGACAAAGAACATAATGTTTAGAACCAAATAATCTATTTATGACACTTCTATCCATTTTTTTCCTTCAATGAAGAAAAGCACTGGCTTCATATAACTTTCTTGGCAAGGAGTCAGGAATTGTTTTCCTTAATCTAGATCAGGAGCATCAACAGAGCGGTCAAAAAAGTCAAGATGGTGGCTACAATTGTGTAATCAAAGCCAAACTGTTTTTACATGTACCATCTTAAATATAGCTGGGGCTTCAATTGTAGGGTTGTGGCTGCCATTTTGACTTTTTTTGACACCACCACCTTCTTGTGGATATCCCCCAGTATAAATTAGAATACTTACTATCCCACATTACAAAACAAGATTGGGTGTGCAAAAGACGAAAGGATTTGTAGTCAGACACAGAACTCCTAGCAAATAAGATGTCTTATACCATAATATATCAGAAGGTATTCCCATTACAATCACACAACTTTGTTGTTGGCAT